AGAAAGGGCAGAGGGTGGGGTGGGAACCTGGTGGAGGAGAGCAATGGTGGGCGGGAGGGGGGGAGAGGAACATTTGTAATAATATGAATAAAAATTTATTTTAAAAATTTTTTTAAATAAAGTATTATTTAGGAGGTAATAATCCACATCTGCACTAGTCAGAACAGGAAGTGATGCATTCAATTCTGGGCCTCGGGACTCCTGCCCACAGCCCTGAGGGAGTGACTCCTGTCGGACGGACCCCCTGTGGGGAGCACTGAGACACCTGGTGAAATACAGCCGGTGCCTGTGTAAGGGCTGAGACCCACCGACCCGGGCAGCACGGGAGAGGCCAGCGTTTTACGGGGAGAAGGCAGGAGGCACGCTCACCTCTACTTGCTCCCAATCGGAAAGCAGCCACGTGGGATAGAAACCTGCGGTCCTATCAGTTGAGGAAACACACAGAGACGGAACCTGTGGCTGGAAAGCAAGGGAGGAAATCCTAGACAGAAGCACAAACTGCTCAGAACTCGGGGTGGTGCCTGCCCTGAGGCCATCCAGCAAGGACTAAGAGAGAAGGTGGAGTCTGGAGTTTTATTTCTGCCAAGTTAACTGCCTGCCAAAATCAAAACGTAATATTCTCAACAGGAACGTAACAGCATCCACAGTCTCTACCTGTTACTCAATGTCTATAACCCGGAAGCACTAGGACAGCGATGCTCAGATATGGTCTGCACATCCTGGGAGCCCAAGACCCCTTCGGGTGGCTCCCAGGCCAGGACTTCCAAGTGACACCCGGTGTCCCTGCTCCTCTCCGTGTCATCTCTGTACACCACCATGGGCTCTTCCAGCAACTACAGGACCTGCGAGGAAACCATCACTCTGGTAACTACCAGAATGTACCTGTGTTTTTGTTTCCTGAAAACTTTTTTAAAAAAATATATATTTTATTGATATTTTACAGAGAGGAAAGGAGAGAGATAGTTAGAAACACCGATGAGAGAGAATCACTGACCAGCTGCCTCTTGCACACCCCCCACTGGGGATGTGCCCGCAACCAAGGTACATGCCCCTGACCGGAATCGAACCTGGGACCTTTTAGTCCGCAGACCGACGCTCTATCCACTGAGCCACACCAGTTTCAGCTCCTGAAAATTTAAGGTAACAGGTCTTTGAGTGTAAAGGTGAATGTTTAGAGAGATTAACTCAGTTGTTCTCAGTACAGTAATGGTGCTCTTACAGTTATAACTGCTATCAGGTCTTTAACCCCATCATCATCCAATAAACTGACATCTGAAATCCCAAAGGTTTCCTTGTTCACACAAGCAAACACAACACTTGTCTTGGATGGCAATAACACTTAATTTTTGAAAACTTTATATATTTTGAATTTTAAGCCTTTTATTTTTTAAACTTTTTAATGTTTTTATTGATCTCAGAGAGGAAGGGAGAGGGAAAGAAATAAAAACATTAATGATGAGAGAGAATCATGGATCGGCTGCCTCCTGCACGCTCCTCACTGCAGATGAAGCCCGCAACCCGGGCCTGTGCCCTGATCGGGAATCGAACTGTGACCTCCTGGTTCAAACATTGAGCCCTGCCAGCTGAGCTGAATGTTTTTTGTTTTTTAATATATTTTATTGATATTTTACAGAGAGGAAGGGAGAGAGATAGAGAGCCAGAAACGTCGATGAGAGAGAAACATCGACCAGCTTCCTCTTGCACACCCATACCGGGGATGTGCCCGCAACCAATGTACATGCTCCTTGACCGGAATCGGACCCGGGACCTTTCAGTCCGCAGACTGACGCTCTATCCACTGAGCCAAACCGGTTTCAGCTGAGCCGAATGTTTTATTTTTCACACAGACATGGTGAGTTTTAAAGCCAAAAATTATTTATTTTAGCTTTTCAGACCAGAAAGCAAAAAGTTCAATTCTGAGAAAATAATTGAAAGTTTTTTGTTGCCAAGGACAAAGTTAGAGCTTTTAGGTGGTAATGAGAATTCTAAAAAACTTGTATCCGTGAATATGAGCTTTAAAACATCTTTTAATAAGACAAGTGTGAAATATGGTAGCAACCATACTTGGGTAAAAACTGCTGTTTGAATTTTAACCCTGCCATTCTGACTTTGACCTTCTCTTACTTGCTTAAACAATAGGGTACTTACAGGAGAAGGATTCCCACGGACTCAGTAGCTTCAGGGGTAGAAACTGTAGATAACCTTCAGAGGTTAACCTCTGAGTTCTGCTTCTGTATTACTGGCAAGATAGGGCCATGTTCCAATGTTCCCAGCCTTTAGAATTCAGAACAAAGGGAAATTCCTGAGGTTTGAACCTTTAAAAAGACGGCCGACACCTAGTCGTGTGGAGTCCACCTGTGTGTGGTCCTGGCCAGTTTTTCAATAAATCCTTGCCTGCTTTTTTTTTTTTTTTTTTTTTTTTTTTTTTTTTAAATCAATCATCAGCCTCCGGTGGTCTCATTTTGAACCCAGGGTTCAACCCCACAACAAAGTGGTGATATTAGTAAATGTGATTTTTTGATAAGTGATGAAATATGGTCAGCATCTGGGAGATGTGCCAACTCGGCAAACTGTTATTTTCTAAATAGACAATGCATGATGGCAAAAGACCCACTCAAAGCGCCACACAGACCAGTGGGGTCGGTGGGAGAGAAGGGAAGCTCATTGCTACGGCTTCAGAATCCACGGGAAATAACCTTTCCGAAATGACTGCCTGTCAAGGCCTGACGTGACGTTCAAGAACTATACCCACCATTTTCTGAAAAGGCTATTAAAATACTCCTTTCACCAATGGTGTTTTCCTTGAACTAAAACACACAATCCAAAAATTTCCCTAAAACCGAAAAAGACCCTGAATAGCCTCAGAAAACCTGACAAGGAAAAACAAAGTGGGAGGTCATGCTATCTAATAGCAAACTATACCACAAGGCCATAGTAATCAAAACGACATTGTATGGCATAAAAACAGACTCACAGAACAATGGAACAGAATACAGAGCCCAGAAATAAACCCACACCTATGTGGTCAATTAACAGATAACAAAGGAGGAGAGAGCATCCTGGGGTATAAAGACAGTCTATTTATAAATGGTATTGGGAAAACTGAACAAAGGCATGCCAAAATATGAAACCAGACCACCTTCTTACATCATATACAAGAATAAACTCAAATTGATTAGAGACTTAAATATAAAACTTGAAACCATAAAAATCCTAAAAGAAACCATAGGCAATAATATCTCTGACATTTCCCTTAGCAATATTTTTTCTGATATATTTCTCCTCTGGCAAGGAAAACAAACAAGATAAGCACATGGGAGTGCATCAAACTAAAAAGTATCTTCACACAAAGGACACCAAACACACAGACAACCTACTGACTGGGGAAGCTATTTGCCAATGGTACGTTCAAAATTTAATAAAACAGAAAATGAGCAGGGAAGCCCCAGCATGGGGAAAATATTCCCGGTGCATGTATGTAACAAAGAACTTGTACATGGGTTATGTACGAAACTCCTACAAAGAGATAGTAAGACAAAGCATCCAATTTTTAAATGGGCAAAAGACCGAGCAGGCACTTCAAAATGAACTTCCAAGAAAATACTTACCATTTGACTATTGGGAAAATTTTTTTTATGATGGTAATATTTTTTATTTTTTTATTTTTATTTTTATATATTTTATTGATTTTTTTTTGCCCCCCTCCCTCCCTCCCACATATCCCCTCCCTCCCCAGAGACTATTGGGAAATTCTGAACAGGGCGCTGAGGTGAGAGAGATTTTTAATGGCTGTGACAATACAGGTTTTCCACTCTCTGAAAGCATGTTCCAAGGAAACTTCCAAGTGGCAAAAAACTAAGCAACTGTCGTAAATGCATATGGATAACTTTGTGCGAGTTCCAAACCCCCTTCCCCAACAAGCTTCAAAACCAAACCACGTGACACTGGAGCCGAAAGTAACCCACGTGTCACATGGTTTCGGCCGCCACTGCCTCTAACTGCACAACAAGCACTGAATGTGATTCTCGCTTTTCACTTTCCCCCCCACAAAAGTCATAAATCCTCTTCAGATTTCTTTGTTAAGCGAAACCGAATAGTAATATAGGACTTTCATGAAAGTAAAGTGGCTTGACCCAAACTTTCAAAAAGCAGGAGATACCAGTATCTTGGGTTTTGGGGGGTTTATTTTTAGTATATTTTATTGATTTTTTTTACAGAGAGAGAGAGTTAGAAACATTGATTCAGCTGCCTCCTGCACACTCCCTACTGGGGATGTGCCCACAACTAAGGTCCATGCCCTTGACCAGAATCGAACCTGGGATCCTTCAGTCCGCAGGCCAACGCTCTATCCACTGAGCCAAACCGGTCTCGGCAGTATCTTGTTTTTAAATACATTAAGACCACTCATTATGATAAATAAAGTGGCTGAGAATCTTACTCACTGAAAACTTGTATCATCTAAGAGAGTGGCTGGCAAACTGCGGCTCTTTTGACTAATGAGTTTGCCGACCACTGATCTAAGAAACGTGATGATCATTACGTATTTTACTGACTCAACTGTGAAACCAAAGCTTTTCTTTTGTGAGTTTTGGACAGGTTTAACTGAGGCACTTCCTGGTATCACTTATTTATAAGTGATTATTACTATAGACTCATTATTTTTGTTGATTTTATAATATATAGGCTTTATAGCAAATGAATGGCAATGTGAACTTATAAAGCCCATTTAGCAATGACACGCTGCTTTTACCAATTTTATATTTCATGTTATAATATGAATTCTTTAAAAAATCTGAAAAACAATGGTGGATGTAAGGACAGCCAAGCATATACTGGTCCCGGAAATCCAGACCCTGTGAGGAACACATTCACCATGGTAATGACTAGCAGCTTAAGCACACGGACCAGGACACAAATCACTGAGGTGAGTGTTCGCCACATGCACACAGGTCCAAGCCCCACGTACCTCTGCAGAGCGTATATTTGATCGCAATACTCACGGGTGCTACTATTTTTCCTGTCTGTCCGACTTGCATGTCGTTGGGAACAAAGCCAGCGTCAACAGCAGCACGAGAAGCACCGACTGAGGGGGGGAGGGGAGATGGTCATTTTTTTTAGCCTAATTGGGATATCACTGATAATTATTAAAAAAAAAAACAAAAAAAACCAACACTGATACAGTACAGTTAGACATTTATTTTATTAAGGTCTTACGTCATCCACTCCTTACTCTATCAAACCCCTTTATTTCTCAATGGTTTTCAGTTCCTGGGTCATTGTCACTTTCTCAAATACTAGTCTTCACTCTTGGAGATTTCAACGCCCTGGATTCTCAGTCCCTTAAATGGCTCTCCTCCAGTTACCTTGTGTGTGTGTGTGTGTGTGTGTGTGTGTGTGTGTGTGTGTCCCGCTACCTCAGCCAAACCCATGGCCACAGACCCCGCCTTCCCGTTACCAACATCCCCTGACAGCTTCCATCTCCGCCGTCTGTCTGTGACCCCCCTCTTCCTACCTGACTTCCTTCAGGACCTAACGCCAACACTCCTCTGACCTCACTGGGACCCACAATTCTATTCCCTGTCTCTCTCAACCTCCTTTGTTCTATCTTGTCTATAAATGATTAAATTCAATTTTAAAATAACATTAAATGTCCATTTCAATTGGTATGAGAGATTTATTTAGACCACCGATAAAGAGAAAAACAAGGGCATAGTACGCACTGATGCTAATATTTAAATTCTCTTCAAAAGGGGAGAAACTGCTAAGATTTGGCCAACTAAGTGTTGCATAAATAATAAAAAAGAGTGGAGATGCCCACTCCTCGCTGAATGCTATGCCATTAACTTGGAGACTGAGAGAAACTGTTTGAGAGAGAAACTTAAACACTGGAAACAGTAAAATAATTTTCAGGCTATAAATAAATGAAATAATAAAAAGATTTCCAATGAAATTGGAAACAACTTTACCTGCAGCGTGGAGTTGATCGGCCAAATCGTATAACAACTTAAAGTTCTCTCCGCTCTTCAAACCCCGACCTCGTTAAGAAAGAAAAGAAAGAGGCAAATATAAAACTCCATTCCACAACCATTTTGCAACTTCGTATACCTGAGCAAACTTTGAATTTCCTAACGCCCCTCCCCGGTGATGACCTATACTTCCGTAAAGCATTCACACCGCTGTGATGGACTAACCAGTTAACTAACGGTACAATCGACCTTTCAATCAGTCCTCCCGCTAGTAAAAAACTCTTCAGCGGCAGGCTCCCTATCTATCTCAGCCACTGCTATATGCACAGTATTTAGCAAAGTTTCACTGAATGAGCTGAAACCAGTGTGGCTCAGTGGATAGAGCGTCCGTCTTTGGACTGAAGGGTCCCAGGTTCGATTCTGGTAGGGGGCATGTACATTGGTTGCGGGCACATCCCCAGTAGGGGGCATGCAAGAGGCAGCTGGTTGATGTTTCTCTCTCATCGAGTTTCCAGCTCTCTATACGTCTCCCTTCCTCTCTGTAAAAAATCAATAAAATATATATTTAAAACAAAAAACAAAAAACTTCACTGAATGACTGAGTTATCTGAAGAGAAGTCACCCCACCAGCCTTCCAGCACCTTGCTGGCAAGAACCCTGCTTTCCCTCTCTCTCCAGCACTGGGCGTGGGCCTGGCAGAGAACAGATACCCAATAATCACTTCTTGAATAAATAAGGGATAAAATGAGTCAGCTACATCTTTTCAAAATGTTAAATTATTGCCTCTCAATGCCTCTTGTCAGTGCAAGGCTTTCTGGAAGCTTACTTCTTTTGTTTGATGTTCACTTTGGAAAGATTTTAAAATAGTAGCAGACTATATAAAAGGGGTGTGTGTTTTTCTACCAACGGGAGCATGATATACAAAAAGAAGCAAGCTTGTGCAGCATTAACAGCGTTGATATTAAACGTGAAGAAGCTTCCAGAGTCTTGCATAGAGAAGGACCGTGTAAAACACAGCAAGTGAGACAAAGTGGTGTGAAGGGTGAGAATCATACCACACGCCTGAGATTCCCCCAATTCTTCCTATGATTCACAAGCCAGCCACACGCTTCAGAATAACATGGAATTCAGTCAACAGAACAAAGACACTCAGTTGTCCAGTGATGTTGATAAACTCTGCACTACGCTTCCCCTCATGCCAGGGACACAGATTGGCAAAAGGAAGCCCAGGTGGGTATTAAGCCCATGATCTCATTGTCCTAATTGGTAAAACGGAAATAATACTCACAACTTACCTACTTTTCACATTTGAAAAACAAAAAAATCTGTGCTCTTCTAAAATAAACATCAATAAAATCGAAGTATTTGAACTTGACATCATCTTTTAAGATTGATGCGTGAAAAAAAAAAAGAAAAAAAAAAAGATTGATGCGTGAGAAATCTCACTTACCACCAGATACCACCACTTTGGCGCCAGTTAGCTCAGGTCGATCACTTTTGGTTAATTTCTGGTCCAGCCACTCTGATATCCCCACCGGGGAAGTACTCGATGCTACATACAATGACATATGTAACAGAACAATGACTACGAATTCAAGTTGTACAACAACAGTTTTTAAGTGAAACACACACAGAATTCCATGAAATTTAAGTTTGTGGGTTACTGTACATTTTGGGGCTCTACTTATTCTCCGATTTTTTGAAAGACTAAAGGGACTAGCCTCTAGCCTTTCCCTCAATAGCTGTGTGCCTTTTGAGCAGTCAGCTGATTCTGAGTTTACCTATAAAACAGCAATAACCCTGTCTATGCAATTCACATTAGATACTGTCTGTTAAAGTGCAGCACTGGCTACACATTTGCTGTTACATTCTTCCATTATGCAGGACCTCCGAAGTATCACAGCAGGAACAGTGAGAGGAGACAAAAATCTTAACATCCGCCGAAACCAATGTGGCTCAGTGGACAGAGCGTCGGCCTGCGGACTGAAGGGTCCCGGGTTCGACTCCAGTCAAGGGCATGTACCTTGGTTGCGGGCACATTCCCAGTAGTGGGTGGGCAGGAGGCAGCTGATGGATGATTCCCTCTCATCAATGTTTCTAACTCTCTATCTCTCTCCCTTCCTCTTTGTAAAAAGTTAATAAATTAAAAAAAAAAAAATCTTAACATCCACGTAGCACACTAATCTTAATGGGCCCTGTCTATCTCACCCGTTTGGTCTACCATAGCAGCTATCCTTGTACCAAACATGATATGAAAAAGATGTCACAAACCCATCTTCCTTTTGTGTAAGACTGGGAATATCACTTCTAATAAATATTAGAAGTTTAACCAGAGCCCATCTCTTATGCTCATCGATGAAGAGAAAAACAAGAAACACAAACAGCCGAAACCAGTTTGGCTCAATGGATAGAGCGTAGGCCTCTAGACTGAAAGGTTCCGGGTTCGATTCCGGTCAAGGGCATGTGCCTTGGTTGTGGGCACGTCCCCAGTAGGGGGTGTGCAAGAGGCAGCTGATGGATGATTCTCTCTCATCGAAGTTTCTAACTCTCTATCCCTCTCTCTTTCTCTCTGTAAAAAATCAATAAAATATATATATATATATTAAAAAAAAAATTAAAAACAAACTCACCCTTTTCAGAGCTGGCACTGCCTCCACTTGTTGCTGCAGCTTCAAAAGCTGTCCCTCGGACGGAAAACACCTTCACTTTTTCGTCACATTTCACTGTACATAAAGCATTTCCTGAAATACAGGTTTTTGTTTAAACAACAACAACCAGGAAAGATAACAAAGAAGTATTCCTTTGGTTCAGGATGTCTTCACAAACACCGGGCACAAATTAGTGTGGCCACATGTCTCCTACCTCTCCTAAGAGCAGGGGGAAAGGCCTAACACTGAAGAAACCTTTCAGAATGAGTGTGTTTAACCGTGAATATATTTAAAAACAGGACACCCTGCTGACCTGCTTAGAAGCAACTACCCTGTTCCCCCGAAAATAAGACAGTGTCTTATATTAATTTTTTTCTCCCAAAGCTGCGCTAGGTCTTATTTTCAGGGGATGTCTTATCTTCCCGTGTGCTAGGTCTTATTTTCGGGGAAACACGGTAATTGAAACGGGAAACCACACGGATCCGGCACACTCTTCCTACAAGGAGGGGAAAGAAAAGCCCCCTCCTCCAGAAACACAATCAGTAACCCCAACAGTGTGAGCTGCAACCTCTGCTTTGAATGCGAAGGGAGGAGGGAACTGGAAAGATGGCGGGGCATAAAGAACAGGAAGTGTGGCCCTGGCCAGGGTGGCTCAGCTGGTTGGCCACCTTCCCAGGCGCCGAAGGGTTGCTGGTTCGGTTCCAGGTCGGGGCACATGCCTGGGGTTGTGGGCATGCAGGAGGCAGCCAAGCAATGCTGCCCTCTCACATTGATGTTTTCCTCTCTTCCTCTCCATTCCTCTCTCTAAAAACCAGTGGAAATATTTTTGAAAAGAAGAGTAAGAAGTGTGATAGGGATTTTAAAAGGTTTGGGTACTTTTCTTAGGAATTAGCAATCACATTAAGAATGACCTAAGCCATGCCAAGACCGGTTTGGCTCAATGGATAGAGCGTCGGCTTGGGGACTGAAAGGTCCCGGGTTCGATTCCGGTCAAGGGCATGTACCTTGGTTGCAGGCATATCCCCAGTAGGGGATGTGCAAGAGGCAGCTGGTCGATGACTCTCTCATCGATGTTTCTAACTCTCTATCTCTCTCCCTTCCTCTCTGTACAAAATAATAAAATATATTAAAAAAATTTAAAAAAAAAAAAAAAAAAAAAGAATGACCTAAGCCAAAACCGGTGCGGCTCAGTGGATAGTCGGTCTGCGGACTGAAAGGTCCCAGGTTCGATTCTGGTCAAGGGCATGGACCTTGGTTGTGGGCACATCCCCAGTGGAGGGTGTGCAAGAGGCAGCTGATCGATGATTCTCTCTCATCAATGTTTCTAACTCTCGATCCCTCTCTCTTCCTCTCTGTAAAAAATCAATAAAATATATATTTTTAAAAAGACCTAAACTGTAACCAGATACTCCCCCTCAAACACTACTAAAGATTAAAGGTCTGGCCGAAGCCGGTTTGGCTTAGTGGTAGAGCGTCGGTCTGTGGACTGAAAGGTCCCGGGTTCGATTCCGGTCAAGGGCATGGACCTTGGTTGCGGTGGGGGGTGTGCAGGAGGCAGCTGGTCGATGTTTCTCTCTCATCGACGTTTCTGGCTCTCTATCTCTCTCCCTTCCTCTCTGTAAAAAATCAATAAAATATATTAAAAAAAAAAAAAAAAAGATTAAAGGTCTGGTTTGAGAGTGACCATTTATCTTGAAACACACAACTCCAACCAGAAAGAACTCACAGCACAGGGTGCTTAGCTCAAGGTCAATCAACCAGAAAGACACTGAAATGAATTTCTTAGCACAGATGGAAATGGAAGGGAAGCAGCAAAGAAGACTGAAAATTCTATTAAAAAAAAAAAAAAAAAAAAAAGAATAAAAAGGAAGTGTTGCTTTTCCAGGTCACTTGCACCTGTACTGAATTCTCACTGACACTGGAGAAACCTCCCTCCGTAAGCTGAATGACCAGGAAGGAAAGACCTGTGCTCTGATCTGTCTGAGAATGTCCTGTCCTGGTCTAGCTACAATGCGAAGATGCTTCTCAGGAACCTTTAAGATGGTCCATTCAAAGCACATATATGATTTTAAAAAAAAAATAAAAAAAAAATCCTGACTTCGAGATGAATTCCTGCCTGTAAAATTTACAAACATTTAAGTAAATTACCCACCTGCATAAATAGTCCTCACAAACGTGTCAGGTGACTTGATTGCAATGATGTCAGAAATTGGGGCGACATCAAGTTTGGCTGCTATTCTGGGCAGAAGGTTCTAAAAGCAAAACAAGCAGTAAGTTATACACACACGTGCAGATGAATGGCTATAAACTTCCAGCGATAACATTCTCTAAATGCATATTCTATAGAAATTTTAATCCGAATATTTTACATTTCACATATGCCTTCAGACACAACTTGAAGCACAGCTTTTGTACAGTTTTTGTATTAAATAAGAGCCTATTGGACTCTAACTACATTAAAAAATTATGAGTTTTACATGTTAATAAACCACCTTAACAAGTTGAATTATGAGATGATATCTGCTTTAATGAACATCACTTACAAAGTGTGACAGTTATGCATTACTGAGTTTAGATGAGAAAAAACAAGAAAATATTTAGAAGAATAGTAAAATTCTCAAATTAAAAATATATTTGTTGCCGAGACCGGTTTGGCTAAGTGCATAGAGCATCGGTCTGTGGACTGAGGGGTCCCGGTTCGATTCCAGTCAAGGGCATGTGCATTGGTTGCGGGCACATCCCCAGTGGGGGGTGTGCAGGAGACAGTTGGTCGATGTTTCTCTCCCATCGACATTTCTAGTTCTCTGTCCCTCTTCCTTCCTTTCTGTGGAAAGTCAATAAAATATATATAAAAAAAGAATATATTTATTGCCGAAACTGGTTTGGCTCAGTGGATAGAGCGTCGGCCTGTGGACTGAAAGGTCCCGGGTTCGATTCCGGTCAAGGGCATGTACATTGGTTGCGGGCACATCCCCAGTAGGAGGTGTGCAGGAGGCAGCTGATGGATGTTTCTCTCTCATCGATGTTTCTAACTCTCTATCCCTCTCTCTTCCTCTCTGTAAAAAATCAATTAAGTATATTAAAAAAAAAAGAAAAAAGAAAAAAAAAGAAAGCCAAGATGAGCTATGGAGACAAGTATGGTGTGGCTTCCGCACAATGAAACCTAACCCTTCTGAGAGTGGCATCAAAGCCCGCCCCTGGCCCTCTCACCTTCCCGAAGGCGGACGCTCCCGCGCAGATGTGGGTGTAATTGAACTGCTTCTGAGTTGCCAAAACCAATGGTGTCAGCTCCTCTGAGAATCAAACACATCTGATCAATAGATTTCCTAATATTTCCACAGCATACATTCATCAATGAGACATTACGTTCTTGCCCACCGGAAACGCCTACCTGGAAGCAGGCCCTTGTACGCATCGTGCTGAGCCACCAGGACTTTGGCTACACCAGCTACTTTGCAGAGGTCTTGTGCCACCTGGGATTAAAAGTTGTTCATTATCCATCTTATGGAAAGATGCAAACAGCCACACCACAAGCATCAACAGAGCCTAAGTCCCTAAAGGGCAGTTGTAAGAATCCTTATCAGAGAGATGTATACTCTTTAACAAAGAAAATCTATGTCGATTGATCTTTTTTTAAAAAAATATATTTTATTGATTTTTAACAGAGAGAAAGGGAGAGAGATTGAGAGTTAGAAACGTCGATGAGAGAGAAACACCGGCCAGCTGCCTCTTGCACACCCCCTACCGGATATGCCCACAACCAAGGTACATGCCCTTGACCGGAATTGAACCCGGGACCTTTCAGTTCACAGGTCGACGCTCTATCCACTGAGCCACACCGGTTTCGGCTCAGGTTCTCTTTGTCTCTCACAGTAACAACTGCAGACTCAGGGCTCCTAGGGGCTTGGAACAGAACCAGCCAACGTAGTCACAGCCACAGCCCTTCCGTGGCAATAGTAACCTGCTGATATGAAAATCAGTGAATCCGGCAAGACCGAAGTCTTCAATCAGTCCATTCACTAGCAGCCACCGAGGTGCTGCCCATTCACATTATTTATCTATCGTGAATATATAGGTTTTAATTCCTCTTGTCTTGTTTGGATCAGGATGGGGCTCTGCCTTCGGACCGCTCAGGCTTCCTGTACAGAGGCAGCTGGAAGGCCCGTCTCTCGGTCTCTGAAATGACAGCACGGCTGGCTTCCGCTGGAACGGAACACGGCAGTCCTGCTCTGTCTGTGTCTGCTCACTGGCCTCCGTGCTGACTCACTGATGAGCAGGCATAAAAGGCTGTGCCTCCTGCCCCCTCAAAGGAGGTGAGGCGGGGAGAGGGTGCTGTGTGCAAGATCCTCTGCTGAATCAAGAACCACTGGCAGGGCAGGCCGCCCTGTTCTGGCAAACTGCCTCTCTATTCCCAGCAAACACTGCCGCCAATGCACGGCCACATCCGCCAGCTCAGACCTGAGCTCTGCCCGGGCTCCTAGCGGTCTCCTCGCACAGGCACGGCCTGGCTTTCTTTAAGAACTGAACGTGACAGGACAATACAATTGTAAGGGAACAGAAGATGATGTCTGCTCCGGTTTTTCTCAAAAGAGTGTAAAAAAGAAATCCCATTTCAGCCGAAACCGGTGTGGCTCAGTGGATAGAGCGTCGGCCTGCGGACTGAAGGGTCCCGGGTTCGATTCCAGTCAGGGGCATGTGCCTTGGTTGCAGGCACATCCCCAGTAGGGGGTGTGCAAGAGGCAGCTGATCGATGTTTCTCTCTCATCGACGTTTCTGTCTCTCTATCTCTCTCAATTCCTCTCTGTGTAAAAATCAATAAAAATATATTTAAAAAAAAAAGAAAAGATACAGGGTCAGCCGAAACCGGTGTGGCTCAGTGGATAGAGCGTCGGCCTGCGGACTAAAGGGTCCCAGGTTCTATTTCGGTCAAGGGCATGTGTCTTGGCTGTGAGCACGTCCCCAATAGGGGGTATTCAGGAGGCAGCTGATCGATGATTCTCTCTCATCGATGTTTCTAACTCTCTATCCCTCTCCCTTCCTCTCTGTAAAAAATCAATAAAATATATATTAAAAAAAAAAGTAAATTTCTGTCAACAGAAAAGGAACTGTCTCCTCTAGAAGCAGTTCTCTAGGTCCCAGCCCCGACCACACCCTCCACGCCCCGAGTGGGGTGGGAGGGCCCCCCTCCCGGAAGCCCAGCCGCATGGGCGTCATTGAAGCACAGTCTGACCTGCACCGCGGCCGTGGCCAGACCCTGCCCCCCAGGAGGGGGCGGTCGCTGTCTTATCCCCACAACCAAAACGAAGGCCGTCTTTTCACACCGGCTGTCACCCGGAAAGCACAGTACCGCTTCCGTTTGAGTTCTCACACCAACCGAAGGAGCACGCCCGGTGCTCTGTCCAGATTTACCACTTTCAGGAATTGAAAGCAATTAGCGAGTCTATTCATCACCACAGAAAAGGAATCGGCTATTAACCTCGGAGGGGACTCAAATATTATCCTTCTCCTTGGTACCTGATGGCACGCGATGGTGCCAGGGGAACTAAATCAAGCATTCCACCTCGTTTCAAAAGATAAAATGCTTAGCGGGCAAACTTGGTTTTCTTCGCGCCTGGTAATGTTGTGACTCTGGCCATTTAGTGAGGATCAGAGCCCAGTTTGGGTGACGGTCCTCCCCATAATTCTCCGCGGCCATCTTTCCCTGTCCCTGGATGGAGATTAGATTTGCTATGATTGACCTTAGAAATGTCTCACCTTGTCACATTTGGGTCCGGCTATTAAGCAGGACACGTCCCCGCCCAGGCGTGTGGCTGCCGTGATGGTGTTTAAGGTAATGGGTGCTATGGCATCGTTGGCGTGCTCAGCGATCACCAGGGTGCTCTGAAATCGAAGCAACGTGGCCTGAGAGAGGGAGGAAATGGAAAAGGATCTTATAAAACACGTGGTTTTTTTTGTTTTTTTTTAATATATTTTATTGATTTTGTACAGAGAGGAAGAGAGAGAGATAGAGAGTTAGAAACATCGACGAGAGAGAGTCATCGATCAGCTGCCTCCTGCACACCCCCTACTGGGGATGTGCCCGCAACTAAGGTACATGCCCTTGACCGGAATCGAACCCGGGACCTTTCAGTTCCCAGGCCGACGCTCTATCCACTGAGCCACACCAGTTTCGGCTAAAACACGTTTTTTGTTTTTGTTTTTTTTTTACTGATTGTTAAGCACGTGTACTTTAAAGAAAATGTACACAATATTCAGTTCCTAAATGTAGTTATAAAAACACTCAGTAGCAAACACTAGACTATTGTGTCTACCACTCTATTACTAATATTTATAACTAATAAAGACAAAAAGGCAAAAATTAGTATTCTACTGTTAGAAAACTTTGAGAATTACTTCAAAATAGTTTTCTCATTAATCTATGTTCAATGAGAAACTCAATGTACATATAAACTTAAAATCCTTAAGCAGAACATGTTAGTATCAAAGTAGGGAACAAACTACTACCTATTACACTCACGGTCAAAAAGAAAAAAAATAGGCATTTAAGGCCCTTTTCCAGCTCAATAGTCCAATAACCCTAAAATCTTCAAAAAGTACAATAACAACAAAAGATGTAAAAAGTACAGCTCCATTACTGAAAAGGTTCTGAAGCAGAAGTCACTGTTATTTTTCCGTATGCACCATTCTTATGGAGAAAAAGAGCCAAAATCTTAAATATTTTTTAAAAATATATTTTATTGATTTTTCACAGAGAGGAAGAGAGAGGGATAGAGTTAGAAACATCGATGAGAGAGAGTCATTGATCAGCTGCCTCTTGCACACCCCCACTGGGGATGTGCCCGCAATCAAGGTACATGCCCTTGCTCGAAATCGAACCCAGGACCTTTCAGTCCACAGGCCGATGCTCTATCCACTGAGCCACCCGGTCTCGGCCCCAGCGTGCTTTTAGAGAACGTATCTAGACTAAGGACAAGACTGAGTTTCGCAAAGTAAAGCATGAAACGCGCTCCTCCTTCCTTCCCGTACCAGCCACGCCCGGACTTAGGTGAGGCCTGGGAGACACGGGCCCCCTCGCCACCTGAGCGGCACAGGGAATTTGCTGCAGGACGGGCCGCGCTGACAGTCCCTCTGAGGTCGCCCGCGGTCACCTCCCAGGCTGGGGGTCAGGGGTCACCGTGCAGTCTCGGAGCCCAACTCCTGGAGGATGAGGCCTTTTCGCACCAGCTCTGCTGCCTCCCTTTCCCCTTCACTCCCGCACGCTGGCTCTCACTCCCCGGCAGCACTGCCCCCCGCCTCTCCCCAGTTACCGGCACCGCGTCAGGGCGAGCCTGGCGACCACGTTTGTCCTTCTCTTGGCGACCTTCACGGCTTTGACGCTGCTTTTGCTTTTCATTCTTTGGAAGCGACCAAGGAGATGTTCGGATACTTTAACTGCAGGCCCTGAACTCCCACAGGCGTCCGAGGCCCAAAGAAAGCTGAACTGACTCCCTACTTCACCTACAAACACACTCAACACCCGAAGTATTAGAAAGAATAATTCTAACCCATGCCCCCACCATCTTTAAAAAGTAAGTGGGGCCGAAACCGGTGTGGCTCAGTGGATAGAGCGTCGGCCTGCGGACTGAAAGGTCCCGGGTTCAATTCCGGTCAAGGGCATGTGCATTGGTTGCCGGCACATCCCCGATAGGAGGCGTGCAGGAGGCAGCTGGTCGATGTTTCTCTCTCATCGATGTTTCTAGCTATCTCTCTCCCTTCCTCTGTACAAAAAATTAATAAAATATATAAAAAAAAAAAAGTAAGTGGGGTATGGTGAGGAGGGGGTGGGTATGAGGGTCTTTTTGCTCCTTCACTTGAAAATTTAGAAGCAGGAATAACCGATAGCCTCTTCAAGCTCTACTGAAAAAGACGAATATATACTTAAAATCACCTGTCTGTTTTTTAACCTATCTATTACTTTGTAATAAAACATATCGTACATTCCTGTACTTAAACTAAATAACTTACTTAAACTCTTTATAATAAAACACGGTAAGCAGTACTCACGAGTAGAAATGTCATATGACATTGATTCTAATATTAAAAACAGTCAGTTCGCTTTCTTTTAAAAACAGACAAGACCCTGCCGAGACCGGTGTGGCTCAGTGGATAGAGCATCGGCCTGAGGACTGAAAGGTCCCAGGTTCAATTCCGGTCAAGAGCATGTACCTTCGTTGCGGGCACATCCCCAGTGGGGGGTGTGCAAGAGGCCGCTGATCGATGATTCTCTCTCATCGATGTTTCTGACTCTCTGTCCCTCTCTCTTCCTCTCTGTAAAAATCAATAAAATATATTTTTTTAAAAACAAAAAAAACAGACAAGACCCTTAGTAGACACACTGGCAGGCAGCATAATTTTATGGAATTCACCTTATGCAATAAATCTTTTTAGAACCCCATCAAACTGGCTCTCTCTCTTTTCAAGAGAAATTGAAGCTTGCATTTGAATTATAGAGTCCAATCTCATTCATCAGCGCTAAGCCCTGGACTCTGAGAGCCGCCGGGTTCCTTCCCAAGTTTCAGGACAGACACGCCTTCCGTCTGGCAAGGAGCAACAGGCACAGGGACACGCCGACGACCTTGAAAAGTGTTGCTTCACTCTCCACAGAACGTGTCTCTTTGGTATTCTATTAGCCAACAAATTAATTCCAAACGCAAACGAGTAAAAGAACAGGAATAACTCAGATTGCTATCCCTGCAAGATTGCTAACTAATGGCGGTGCTGCCTCCGTTCCTCTCCTGTAAAAGGCCACCTTCCTTAGCAGGTGACACTGAGCAGCCCTCAAGGCGAAGGAGGACTCTGCTAAAGGGCACAAAGACGTCAGCGCTGGCAATGAGCTTAGATACCACGTACAAGTCACTCAGCTTACAGTGTAACCGTTGAAGGTGTGTTTTTTTTTCTTAAAATATTTTATTGATTTTTTTAATTAATATATTTTATTGATATTTTACAGAGAGGAGGAAGGGAGAGAGCTAGAGAGCTAGAAACGTCGATGAGAGAGAAACATCGACCAGCTGCCTCTTGCACACCCCCTACCGGGGATGTGCCTGCAAACCAATGCACATGCCCTTGACCGGAACTGAACCCGGGACCTTTCAGTCCGCAGACCGACGCTCTACCACTGAGCCAAACCGGTTTCGGCTATTTTATTGATTTTTTACAGAGAGGAAGGGAGAGGGATACAAAGCTAGAAACATCGATGAGAGAGAAACATCGACCAACCAGCTCCTGCACACCCCTCACTAGGGATGTGCCCACAACCAAGGTGCATGCCCTTGACCAGAATCCAACCTGGGACCTTTCAGTCTGCAGGCTGACGCTCTATCCACTGAGCCACACTGATTTTGGCTCCTTTTTGTTATTTATTTATTTTTTTAATAATTGTAGTAAAAAATAAAACTTACCATCTTAACCATTCTCTAAGTGTACAGTTCCAAGGTGTTAAGTTTCAAGAGTGAGGATTTCGGATACATTAGTTTGACTTTAGGACATTTATAACAATCTATAACATATAAGTGTAATATGCTAATTAGACCGGACGACCTTTCCCATTAAGCGGGGGCTGCAAAGGAAGCCAGTGCTGGCAGCCAGGGAAGGAAGGCTTATTCTTTTCTTGTCTTTCTTTCTTTCTTTCTTTCTTTCTTTCTTTTTTTAAATATATTCTATTGATTTTTTACAGAGAGGAAGAGAGAGGGATAGAGAGTTAGAAACATCGTTGAGAGAGATTCGTCGATCAGCTGCCTCTTGCACATGTGCCCGCAACCAAGGTCCATGCCCTTGACCGGAATCGAACCAGGGACCTTTCAGTCCGCAGACCGATGCTCTATCCACTGAGCCACACCGGTTTCAACGGAAGGCCTATTCTTGCACGAATTTCATGCATCGGGCCTCTAGTCATAAATATAAGCGAAACAGGGGGCCACAGTGAAGGGGCTCCATGTTAGAACACGGGACAACTGGAGCATTTAACATTTTAAGAGTAATAACGGTGACACCTACTAAGTAAAACGGGGACCCGCACGTCCATAAATGCACGCCTACGTAAGCAGGAAGGAGATGCTCCTCCTTGGAATAGGAAGCTGGGACGTGCAGGAGGAATGCTGGAGTCGGACAGACCACGTTGCACTGCAGCGGATCGCTCCTCAGACCCAGACGCTAAGACCGCAGGCAAGTCCAACGAGAATGAGGCGAGGCCCAGCCTACGTGTCAGTGCATTGTGGCTCCCGTGTACGTCCCCGCAAACCCGTCTTCAGAAGCTGCAGGCAGCCTGACGGCAGAGCAGCCACCCTGGCGAACAACAGTCACCGACAGGGAACAGCCCTCTCCTGAAGCTCACACACACCGCGCTGGCGGCTGTCACTGAACTCACACACACAGCGCTGGCGGCTGTCACTGAACTCACACACACAGCGCTGGCTGCCATGCGCTGCCACTGGGAACCATAATGTCCTCAAGCCGATCCAAGTCAGGCTGAGAAAGACACCCCCCCAGGGAGCTGAGCACCCTAAGTTCTCCCACCACAACTTATTTCCCGTGCCCACGGTGTGTGTGCGTGTGTGTGTGTGTGTGTGTTCTGTGATCTGGCTCTGACACCTGGAATTTGTGTGTGTGTGCGTGTGTGTGTGTGTGTGTGTATTCTGTGATCTGGCTCTGACACCTGGAGTGTGTGTGTGTGTGTGTGTGTGTGTGTGTGTTCTGTGATCTGGCTCTGACACCTGGAATTTGTGTGTGTGTGTGTGTGTGTGTGTGTTCTGTGATCTGGCTCTGACACCTGGAATTTGTGTGTGTGTGTGTGTGTGTGTGTGTGTTCTGTGATCTGCCTCCGATAGCTGGAATGTGTGTGTGTGTGTGTGTGTGTGTGTGTTCTGTGATCTGGCTCCGATAGCTGGAATTTGTGTGCGTGCGTGCGTGCGTGCATATGTGTGTGTGTGTGTGTGTGTGTGTGTGTATTCTGTGATCTGGCTCTAACACCTGAATTTGTGTGTCTGTGTGTATTCTGTGATCTGGCTCCGATAGCTGGAATTTGTGTGTGTGTGTGTGTGTGTGTGTGTGTGTGTATTCTGTGATCTGGCTCTGATATCTGGAATTTGTGTGCATGTGTGTGTGTGTGTGTGTGTATTCTGTGATCTGGCTCTGACACCTGAATTTGTGTGTGTGTGTGTGTGTGTGTGTGTGTGTTCTGTGATCTGGCTCCGATAGCTGGAATTTTCCCAAACCCACGATGTGACTTATTTGTCTACATCCTTTGAGGAGAGAAAAAAACAAACAAACCTGGAGTTATAGAATGAACTCGGACTGAAGGACGGGTCTGACCTTAGTGGAGAGGATGGGAGGTTGGGGAGTTTTCATTTTTGTTTTTATGGAACCAAAGAGGCCGTAAGCGAAGGGCCTCTGCACGGGGTCTAGGAGCCGGGCAGCCCCGTCCTGGCGGCGGGAACCCGGGAAGCCCGCAGGCCAGGCCGCTCCTGCCCCTCCCACCCTCACCCCGCCTACGGGAGCCCGGGAGCCAGAGGCCCCCTCGCGCTGCTCCCACCGCGACGACACCATCCCGCCCGCCTGACAGCGAGAACCGGGGAGAACGCACGGATAAAAGCACCGACAGCGGCCGAAGCCGGTGTGGCTCAGTGGTTAGAGCGTCGGCCTGCGGACTGAAGGGTCCCGGGTTCGAGAGGCATCTCGACGCGGCGCAGCGGGCCGGCCGAGCCCGGCGCCCACAGCATCCTCCTCGCGCCCGGGGGTCCCCCGGCCCCGCCACCGGCCCCCGCGTTCGAGTTTTCAGCCCTTCGCCCCGGCGCGAGGGCCCCTCCCGCCCGCGCCCCGCCACCTGGGGAGAACCTGGGGGCCCCGGGTGAACCCGCACCCCGAGCGGAGCCCCCGCACCCCGAGCGGAGCCGGGCCGAGCCTCAGGGTCACCCCGCCCTGACCCCGGGCCGCGAGGCCGCCGGAGGCCGCCAAGGGCAGCCCGAGGCCGCGCGCGCCAGTCAGGTCCGCGGGGCCGTGACCTTCGCCCACACCGACCCCGCCGCAGGGACGGCGGCTGGAGGGGCCGCCCCCCTCCCCCGCCCTCCCGGCGGGCCTCACCGCCCCTTGCAGCCGCCTCGTCGCCACCGCTCGGAACATGGTCGCGGCTCCCGGTCGCCTCAGGCAGCCTCGTCTCGCAGCCGCTGGACGCGCGCCCCGACCCACAGCGCCTCAGCCAGTCACGGGAACGCTCGCGAGACGCGCGAACGAGAGCGGACACCACGGGCGAGAAGCACGAGAGGGCGGTTCCTGATTCCCCATTGGGCAACCCCGCAGCCAATAGGGACGGCGGAGAGTGAGGGCGGGGCTTAGGAGGAGGGCTGCCTGGAGTCTGCTCGCCACGCCTCTGCGCGGTGACGCCACGCCCCTGGCTCCCCGCCCCCCCCGGTGGCCCCGCCCCCTCGCTCCAATCAGTCACCAGAGCTCCACCTGTCAGGTGCCAGTCATTCTCCAGGTCCGAGAAATTCCAGAAAAGGACACACAATACAACATACAGACGATGTACTACACGCAACTGTATGCTTGCAACCAATATAATTTTTAAAATATATATTTTTAATTAATTTTTAAATATATATTTTATTGATTTTTTACAGAGAGGAAGGGAGAAGGATAGAGAGAAACATCGATGAGAGAGAACCATCGATCAGCTATCTTCTGCACGACCCCCACCGGGGATGTGCCCTCAACCAAGGCACATGCCCTTGACTGGAATCGAACCCGGGACCCCTCAGTCCGCAGAGGGATGCTCTATCCACTGAGCCACACCAGTCAGGGCTACGTCCTGCCTTTCTAAAAAGAGCACATGGAAATCCGCCACTGCCTGCCAACGGCAGAACTTCTTTCTGCATGCTAAAACTACCTCGAGGGTTTTAATAGGGTCACTTCCACATCCTCCTTCCAACCTGCCTTCTCCTTCCCAATGTTGTCATTTCTCTGTTTGAAAATCATGACCGTGAAACCTCCAGCATGTATGGGTTATGCAAACAGCTTCCCTGGGTATATTTTTAATAGTCTCTGCTCTTATTAGTACCAGATGTTGAAACCCCCAAGGATAACAGAGTGACAAACATTAAGGGTAAGACTGTGTAAGCCTGCCGAAACCGGTGTGGTTCAGTGGATAGAGCGTCAGCCTGCGGACTGGAGGGTCCCGGGTTCAATTCCGGTCAAGGGCATGGACCTTGGTTGCGGGCACATCCCCAGTGGGAGGTGTGCAAGAGGCAGCTGATGGATGACTCTCTCGCATTGATGTTTCTAACTCTCTATCCCTCTCTCTTCCTCTCTGCGGAAAATCAATAAAATATATTTTTTTAAAAAGAAGTACTAATTGGCAGTTACATACAGTCCTGGGATGCAGAGTACAGCACAGGGGATGTCCTATATAATCAAAGCCTGATGTGCTAAGTATCATTTTAGGCTTTTATTATATATTGGTCAACTATTCAACCAACCCAAGTGTAATATGCTAATGATATGCTAAGGCAGCTCAACTGCTTGCTATGACGTGCACTGACCACCAGGGGGCAGATGCTCTGACCAGTAGGTTAGCTTGCTGCTGGGGTCTGGCCGATGGGGACTGAGTGAGATGGGCTGGACACATCCTGGAGTCCGCATGGTCTCTCCTCCCCGACTGGCCAACCTCCTGTGTCCCTCCCCGGCCCTGATCACGCACTGGTGGGGTCCCTTGGCCTGACCTGCACCTTCTCGAAATCCAGAACCCCTTGGGGGATGTCAGAGAACCAGTTTCAGCTGGATCCCGCAGGCCAGGCCAGGGAACCCCACAGCTGCACGAGTTTGTCAATACTAGTGTAATCACTATGCTTGGTGCCAGGCAGGTGTTGGGAATATCGGGGGTGGGGACACCTTGTAACGTATAAGATTGCCTAACTACGCTACACGC